GGCTGCCCATCGCATTCCCTCTGGATCAGGCAGAACAAACGGCCTCAGCTGGCATCCAGCCTGTGCCCAGCGGTGGGGGGAAGTGGCCCTGTGTTGGGGGGGCTTTGTGCATGGGGGGAGACTTCTTTTAGAGGTGGATGGGAGAAGAAGCCCAGGTGAATGGACTCCTAGCCCCCCACCCTACCAGCTCCTTCGGGCAGGGAGAGAACCCAGGTGTCTGGGCTCCCAGCTCTACCCCACCAGTCCCCACTGCTCCCTGGGGTGGGGGGTAGAACCCACCAGGCCCCATTGCCCCCAGGTGTCTGGACTCCCTGTTCTCTCCTCCCACTCCCTGATTCCAGGGGGACTCTGAGTTTCTACCTCTTGGCTCCCAAATCCCCTGTGCCCTGAGGACTTCTGGCCAGCCCCGCAACTAGCACAGGGGTGCCAGGGGGAGCAGTCATTGCCCAAGCCCCTCACCTGGTGGGTGCAGTGGGTGTCAGGTGCCAGGACTCCTGGGTTGTGGCTGATGTGGGGAACTGGGGCCCACCCCGGACTCCTGGGTTCTCTCCCCCACCTGCCAGCCTTGCTACCATCCCAGCGCCATGGCAGACGACCTGGACTTCGAGACCGGCGATGCAGGCGCCTCGGCCACTTTCCCCATGCAGTGCTCTGCGCTGCGCAAGAACGGCTTTGTGGTGCTCAAGGGGCGCCCCTGCAAGATCGTTGAGATGTCCACCTCCAAGACGGGCAAACACGGGCACGCCAAGGTGGGCACCCTTGCCCAGAGGTGGGCGGGCACGGGGGCACCCCTGCTTCCCATGCCACCGCCCCCCTTACCTGCCCTGTCCCCCCCCAGGTGCACCTGGTTGGCATTGACATCTTCACCGGCAAGAAATACGAAGACATCTGCCCCTCCACCCACAACATGGACGTGCCCAACATCAAGAGGAATGACTTCCAGGTAGTGCCCGCAGGCACAGTGCCTGGCCGGGTCCGTCCGGACCCCTGCTATCTCCTTGGAGGGCGGGGGTGGGGTGGGGCTGCCTTCAGAGACCACTGGAGTATGGCTGGCATGACCCCCTCATCTGAGCCCAGCTCCCCGGTGCCTGCTGCTCTGTCCCCTCCTTTCTCCTTGGGGGCAGGGGGGTGTCGGGGTGTCCTTCAGAGGCCTGCAAGTCTCTTATCAGAGCCTGCCCCCAGTGCCCGCTTGGCATCCCTTTAGCCCTCCCCTCTCTCATGGTGGGGTGGGGGGGGTCCTTTCAGAGACCCCCAAGTCTCTTATTTGAGTTCTGTCTGCCTGATGCTCCTCCAGCCCCCTCCTCTCTCCTCATGGGGTTGGGGGGCTCCCCTCAGAGATCCCACAGTCTCACATCTGAGCCTTGCCCCTTGGTGTCCTCCCGGTGCCCCTCTAGCTCCCTCCTCTCCTTTTGGGGTTGGGGGGGTCCCTTCAGAGACCCCAAGTCTCATCCAAGCTCTACCCTCCCCAGTGCCCACCTGGTGCCACTTTAGCCCCCTCCTCTCCTCATGGGGTTGGGGACATCCCCTCAGAGACCCCCCCCAGTCTTTCATTGGAGCTGTGCCTGCCCCATGTCCCTCCAGCATCTTCCTCTTTTCCCTTGGGGTCCGGGGACTCCGTTCAGAGCCCTCTCCTCGCAATCTCTCATTTGAGCCCTACCTCCCAGTGCCCACCACCCCTGCACCCATCCCCTCATGGTGGCACACAGGGGTCCACCCCACCTTCCCACCCATACCTGGGGTGAGGTATTTACCCTGAAAAAGCCTGTGCTGTGGCTGGGGGGGGCAAAGGGAACAGCACCCAGTGGACACCAGGATGTGCTTGGGGATCCCTGCCCAGGGCTGGAATTGCCCCAAACCCTCCAGGGGCACAACTGGGACCCCCTCCCCTTCCCTGGGGTGGGAGAGGGGTTGGTTCCTCCAACAAGAGCCTTGATGTTAATTAGAAGCTAATGCAGAGCTAGCCCAGAGTGCATCCGGCCCTGGCCTGGGGACACTAGGCTTGAGGGGGGTTTGGTGGGGTGCCCACCGAGCACTGATGCCCTGTCCTCGCCCCCCTCAGCTGATCGGGATCCAGGATGGGTACCTGTCACTGCTCCAGGACAGTGGGGAGGTGCGGGAGGACCTGCGCCTGCCCGAGGGTGACCTGGGCAAGGAGATCGAGCAGAAGTACGACTGCGGCGAGGAAATCCTGGTGCGTGCTTGCCCCCACCCCGCTTCTCTTCCCTGCTGGGGGAGGGGGGGAGGCTTGCATTGCTGGCTCTACCTGCTGCAGGGGGCTGGGTGGGTGACAGTGGGGGTGGGGGGCCTGGACCCCTGGGTCCTCTCTCCCAGGCTGAGGGGGAGTCTGGGCACCCCCCTTCCCTCCCCCACTATAAACCTTGCTGGTGGTGGTGGTGGGGTCCTGGATGGTGCTGGGAGGCAATATGGGGGGTTCCTGCCCCCCTCCCCACTCTGATCCTGGCCCCCTATTCTGACCCCACCCCCCAGATCACTGTGCTGTCAGCCATGACAGAGGAAGCTGCTGTCGCCATCAAAGCCATGGCCAAGTAACTGACCGGCAGGTGCGTGGTGGGGAGGGGGTGGGGCTGCACTACTCTGCCCACCATGGAGTGGGGCTTCTCTCCAGCTCCTACCCTCTGCTAAGGGGTGGAGCCACAGTGGCTCTGCTTGGCATGCAGGGGTTGCTACTCCCACCCACTCCACTTGGAGGCAGGGTGACACCATGACTGCCACTGGAGGTGGACTTATTGGTTCTTTCCTGGTTGGAGGAGCAGGTTAGGGGTGGGGGCAGTAGCGCCCTCACTTGCCTTCTCTCACTTGCCCCACCTCCTTACAGGGGCAGCAGCAACTTTTACTACGAACCAGAGAGGATCTCACCCTGCCCACCCCTCCCCCCCAATCCCAGCTCTTCCGGGGCTGCTTTGCACTTCAAGGAAGCCAGTGGGGGGGACCCATCACCATGGAAACCGAAGCCGTTTTGGGATAAAAACGCCGTTTGGGGAGCTTTATTATCCCCTCCTTGTTAATTTTTTCCAGATCCTCCAAGCATAAAGCCTTGGCCCTGCCCCCTTTGCCTGATTGGTTAAAACCTGCTGCCCCCCCCCCTCCTGTGCTGGTTGGTGACTGCCCCTG